ACGAATATCATTGGTTATTTCATGTCTCAACAAACTTTCCAAACAGCTCAAAATGTGAGTATACACATTGAATATTATTAGTTTGAGGACTAGTTCGCCATGGGTTCCCTGTGGAATTTCCTACAGGATTTTAGAATAGTACTTTTCAGTTTGTGAATAGAAAAATTGTCTGTGGTTAACATTACTTGAAAAGACTGTTCTACAAAATAAACTGTCAGAAAATTAATTAGTAAAAATCTAAAATAAAAATGTTAAAATAGGCAATACAACAAATCAATTAGATTCTATTATTTAATAATAATATAGCATACTGATGATAAGTTTATTATTATTGCTGTTATTTTATTATTAAATCATTTTTATTATTATTCTAATTTGTTGTTGAATAAAACAAGTATTGCTAACCATGCACAAACATTAATTTTACTCAAAGTAAAAAAAAGAGTATTATTATTATTATATCTGAAAATTTCCAAAGGGTGCCGCGACTAAAAAAAGGTTGGGAAACACTGTGCTACACAATGAACTGCACAATCTTGTGATGTGCAAGGGATTTACAATGTATTATTGTGGTCAAGGCCAGATGTCCTAGATTCTATATTTAACGAAGTGGTTTCTGTGAAAAAGAGAGGGAGAGAAATCCTGCGTCAAGTGTGAGGAGGATAATCTTCAAAATCTTTCTGGCTTTCGAGCAGAGCCCACTTTCACAGGAGGACAATGATGGCATGAACAAGATGTGCAGTATGCAGTTACTGGTGTCATTGTTTCTCCTGCTTGACGCTGCTAAAGCTGGGCTTTTCAGCTCTGCCGAGCTGTCAGGGTCTCCTTTTTTTAGCACCTTTCACTAATGTGGTGGGATGTGGGAAGGGGGTGACCAAGAGCATATTGTATTTCCACTATTCTGCTTCCTAAATTCTGAGTGGTGGTGACACAGGCATCAGCAGGACACGTCTCTTTGATATCTTACATTTTTTTAGGGACAAATATTGAGAAGATCCGCTATCACTCACTCTGATAATGAGAAGGGATGCCCATGACTGGGTCAGTGTGACAGTTCTGGCAGCCTGCCCTTCTCTGGAAATGTGGGCTAATCCATGGAAGGAGAGGTACAGCACATGACAATAGAGTTAAATGAGGGGTGATGGAAAGAGCAGCAAATCTGATCCCGACACCGGTATCATATTATATTATAACACAGAAAAATCTAAACTTTTAAACCTTGTAATTGTATGTAATCCATGTTATATGATTGGCATGTGCTGAATAACTGAATACACCCTGAAAATACTGTAAAATCAGCTTGGTACAGACAGTTAATGAAGTGGAATGAAGGTTAACGCAGCCTCAGGCCACTTGTGCTCTCCCAAAGAGAGGGACTTGATGACTATTAATAGTTCATGGAGAGATAATTCCTGCTTCAGTGTCTTTGCACACCCAAGACGCGTAGGCTTCGCCCCAGCTCACAGCTTGTTGTGTCATCCGCATTTTTCTTCTAACGGCTGTATTTACAAGTGCAGAGGCCACAGAGCTGCCTGACTAAAACAGTCATACAGCCTCACACGACAACTATCTGGTACTGTAAATGACACTGCAAGTGTTGTGATATTATGAATTATCCATGAACATATATTTTCCCATTGATAAGATGTCCTCTTTCTATTTATTTCTAAAGTGTTGCAATGTGTGATACCCCGCTAGTGAAGGGAGTATTTTTTAGGAATATTCGTGAAGCTAATTTCATAAAACCACTTACATTAATTTTTATGGATGTTTTAAGGTTTATGTCGCTATATTGTCATGGCTACAAACAATTTTTACACACTAAAATCATGTTAAGCTCACTGTGAAAACACCCTTTTGGAAACGTTATTTTGAAGAGTGTAGCATAATGTTGAGTTTAACTTGTAGTGAAGCTGGATCATTTCTTTAATTTATTTCATGAAACCTGCAGGATTTAATGTTTGGTTATATCACAATAACAGCTTGTATCTGGGGCAATACCTTCCAAAGGCGCACCTATGTACCAAATCTAAATCTAAAGGGTGCATATTATTAGCACCCTTTGAGCATACTCAATTTTGCCCCCTAAAAGGTACAATCGTCAGAGTCTAGAGGAGTCCACAAAACCTCATTACAGATTCTCACTTCAGTGTGCAGGGTCAGCAGTGATGTGGCATACAGTATAATGGGTACAGTATAACACACCCATTACTTTGGAAAGATTGAATTAAAAAATCTGCCAATGTCTTGCAGTTGCAATCATGACTGAAGGTGTTTTCTGAGAGATGGAAGCAAGTGTGAAAGTGCGCTGACATGAGGACTGAACTGTGTGGATCTTAAGTACAGCGCTAAAAGCTCACAGTATTTCCCCCGAGTGCCTCATATCATCAGCACAGGAGCACCAAAATCTGTGATTTATTGTGTGAACTGAAATTCAATCACGTTAAGTAGAGGATTGTGTCGGGCGCCTTTGCCGGATGTGAGTAAGCAACCCAGCCGAGCCACCCAATGACCCACACCAGACGCAAAGCTTCAGTCTCTCCATTTATTCAATAAAACTCTTCTGTCCAATAACATGGATGCCAACAGCTTACAAGAACCAGAGTAACAGAGTCTAAGAGGGTCTTTCAAGGGCACGACTCACCCTTTAACCCCATCTCAGTCTGCAGGACTCCTGTCCTTGAACCTTGTTGCCTACCACACAGATGGACTGCTACAAACCACACTAACCCTAAAGGCAGGAATAAGACAGTGAGTTAAACACACATGTAGAACATCACATTCAGGGTTGATATGGGCTCTACTGCATCAGTGGCGCTCATTTGACCCAGCTAAGAATGGAGCTACACTGAGATAAGCCATACTGTCTCTTCATATTTGAGTCCAGGATTCTAGTTCACCATCCTTAAAAATCTTTCCTGATTTGGTCTGAAGATGCCAGGGTTGGGCAAAATTCAGAACTGAAAAAAATTAATAAATAAATAGTCTCCTTTTCAACTCACGAGTTTGAATTGAAATAGAATTGCCCATGCCCTACACGAATTTGGGATGACAGGAAGAGGAATGTACTGAATTGTAACTCAAAGAAATTCAACAGGCAATGCATCCTTCCTTCCATCCATCGTTCTCTCGGTCCGGGAGGCCAACAAACCCTAAACTTCACGACGTCTCTGCAAAACTTTAAAAAAAGGCTGTCAAGCTGCACAGTTATTCTAGTTATACATTAAAATTATATGAACTTCTTTGAATTACAGTTCATTTTTAATTCAAAACCTCAAGTTCAGAATTTAAAAAGCATTCTTAATTCAATTCTGAATAGAGCACAACCCTGCAAGAGGCAGCACGGTTTTGACAGATAGAATCGTATTGTTGTTATGATAAAAGAGACAGTGATGGGTAGATTTTAGGACAGCTACAAATAATAGATAAAAGCCACCTAGTCCACAAATGAAGACATATGTGGTGTCAGAGACATCATGGAGCTCATTTGTGATGTGCAGGACATCGCTCTATCACCACTTTTCTCTGAGAGCATGTAGGCGGGTACGATGACACTAACAAAAATGAGTTATTGCAACACGGCAAAACAGATGTTGACCTCTCATTTTATCCCCCCCTATTTTGTTCTTTTCTTAGTGACTTGTATTGCAAAAGTCTTTGCTCCAGGCAAAACGCTATTTTGTATTGGTAAGTTAAGGCTATCAGTTATTCACAGAAATGACACAGGTGACATCAGTACGATTTAGAAATGACATTTCCCAAACGTGACATTCCTCAGTTGCCCATCGATCAGCATACATTGGCGGCAAACCTCAGTCTACAAAATACAAAACAGAACAAAGAACATCCACAGAGGTACTTGTACAATGAACATGCTACTAACTGATTGAGGAAAAGATCAGTAGATGGATACAAGGGGCCTGGATAGGGTTCAAAAATATAATCATGTGAAACTAATAAAGTAGCAACAATCAGCGTGGTCTCTCTTCAAGCAGACATCTTTGTCTTCTTTGTTTCAACAGGCATGCGGTGGTTAAACTTTAGAGAAAATATAAACAATTTCTATATATACATGACTGTTTAAAATCATTCTAAACTGTAAAATGAAAAGTAGTTGTAAACATGCACTTGTAACCAAACCGCCAGACTGTCACGCAGGATAAACCATCTGTCCAATGACCACAGAAACAATGGGGCTCTTTTAGCCAAATCCACCATTAACTTCTATGATAAACCGACCCACTGGCTGGAGGTGATGGTTCTGTGGTCATATGGAGAGATTAGCATTTTTAGGACACTGGCGTAGCTTCTGCGGTTCAGTGTTCTTTAAAGGGAACATTAACCTGCGCTCAGTTTCCAAAGCCGACACATGAACTTTAAGTCAATCTGACCCCAGTTCTGTGTATTGGTGAAATGTATATACAGTTCCAACACCCTACGGCACACTGCGAAAGCATCTGATGATCACTGCATGTTGATCTATATCAGGAACATCTGCCTGATGGCTACAGTCAATCATGTGACCCATTAGGTATCACTGCTAATCTCTGATATTATATTAAGCTATACCTTTAAACACATTCATATATATGCACACAAGGCTCTTGATTTATACAAATACTGATACATAGTGGGCATCTTTAAATTAAATACTCTTTACGGGCCTTCTCCGAACGGCTAAAAGATTACAAAGCTCACTTTTTGGATCTTGAAGTCACTGTTGTTGACGGCAACTGTAAGTAACTTCTGTTTTCTGCATTCATCTAGGCCTCTTTCAAACCTGCTTGACTGTCGACCTGAAATTGCGAGCTGATGTTTTCATGCTGCAATTAGGAATAGTGTTTCATGCCCTGAAATAGGAAGCTAAATTTAGGCTCCGTCCATGCAGCAGTAAATCAAACCCCACTGCAGTAGCTTGTTGTGACAGACGGGGACCAGAGGATTCAGTGTTAATACCAGCGCTGGCTCGATTTCAGCCCGCCTCTGAATGGAGACTTAGGTTTTTCAGAAATGTTTAGCATATTTTTCCTTAAACTATTATTTCTGTAACAAAATATAATATTTAATTTGTTAACATTAGTTAATGCATCAATGAACAATTAATATTTTTACAGGATTTATTACTACTGGTCAATGTTAATAATGTATGCAACATATTCATAGATTTTCAGGTTGTATTAATGAATATTGTTTAGCATAATATGAATATAAATGAATTGACAATGAACAATAGCATACATTTATGGGGTGGAAATGAACTTGGACCAAGCAATTGAGTTTATAAATTAAGGTTAATCTATATTATTAAAGACTGTAAATATATTTTCAGTGTTAGCTGTCGACATCTAATACATTAACAAATGTTAACAAATTGATCCTTGTCTTAAAGTTTTACCATTATGTCCTTATTGTTATATAAAAAAATTATTAAAATCGTACTTTGCTGATAAAATGCTTAAAACAGCCTAAACTGATTTGATGGTCTTAGCTGGTGTAAGGCCTGTTCACACCAAGACGAAAATTCAGTGTGATAAACATTTTAATTTGAATGAACGGCTTTTAATGCTTCTGCTCAGATTTAGACAAACATTCACACAGATTTTTTTTTTTTTATATACAGAAATGTCCAACACAAGAAAACCAGCCAACCAATACGATTCACACTTTTTGGTCACATGTCCTGAGTCGCTGCTGTTACATAAAACTCATTTTCTGTAAGCGCCACCTACTGTCATAAAGTTAAGTTGCATTTTTCATTCAGTCATTCTTCCATTTTTCGCATTGGTCTGAACAGACAAAGAAATCACATGCGAAAACTGGACCGGATTTCCATGCTGTACGTTCATGTTGGTGTGAAAAGGCTATTACGATGGTCTTCAGCTGGTCTAGCTGGGTAACCTGCAAGTCTACCAGCCTGACCAGCTGAAAAGTGCCCAAAATCCTCTGAAACTAGCCAGCAGACCAGCATAGCCAGCATAGGCTGGTGTAAGATGTTTTTAATCGACAGGGAAAATCACACAGAATCTACTCCCAAACTTAATGGCACGCTATTTTGATTTGGCTTAAAAAATAAGATAAAATCATCAAATTATTGCACAGATTGCCACATTGCTACGATATAAATGCTAATTGGTAAAACTCTTTTAGTCCACTGATTCTCTAAACTCCTTGCATTTTTGAAAGACCTTAGGTCCATTCTCCACACTGAACGCTAGCATTGTTGTTTTAGAGGGCAGTATGGGAATAAATGAACATCCAGCTAACTGTAACAAAACTTGCACTGGTCAGTTTTGTGGCCTGAGGGTGAACACCAGAACTGCCCAGAGCAAACAACAGAAGCTGAAATGTTTAATCTCATTCAGGCCAGTCTGACCTAACTCTATCAGCAGACCCCCATAAACATCTTATAATCTTATCATAATGGATGAGTGTGCTGCTTCATCTCTTTAGTGATGGCATGTTGCAGGGCCTTGGAGAGGCACTGGAATGAGTGCTTTGCATGCACTGATGTATAATTCAGTGAGCTCCTTTAGGAGGAAAGTTTGTTCCCGGGCCCAGTGACGTCCATATGTGCACCACCAACTCTCATGCAAAGAACATTATCATGCCAGGGTGTCTCTTGCGCTCCTTCTCTTTTCACTTGAACACACTTCTTTTCCCTTTACTGGGCGAGTCTCTTCACTTCTGCTCCTCCCTCTCTTTTTCTCTTTGAAATTGGCAGTATCTTCTGATGAGCCGTCTCAAGAGGAGGGAGAGGGCACACAGTGTGATCCCAAGGCAGTGGCCTACTGGTAGGGGGGATTTAGTTGGAATCGAGTCATAGCTTACAGGTCACAAGCCTGTGATAAGACGTTCTGGATGATAAGACACAGGAAGTGGTCATGACACTCAGAGAGGGTCCGTTCAACTGGTTCAGCCTATGAACATCTGAATGTGTTGGGAGATGGAGTCCATTAGAGGCCCATTACAGTGTTGTATTTGTATTGATTTGTCTCACAAAAGTGATTGAAAGGTGTCTTCTCTTTGGCTGCCACCTGCCAAAGACGAAGAATTAGCTGAGGAAGGTGGAGATGTTTGAGCGTGTTTGTATGATTGTAGAAGAGTGGTTGAATTTTGGAGTCCCACATCTAGTCCCGACTTCTGTTGCGCTTCTTGAAGAAGAAGAATGTTTTCTGTGGCGGTCCCAGCAGCATGGGAACTTGGTTCTTATGCGTGATCCGTATCTGCAGGAAAGAAGGCAAGATTATTCTCTGAAGACAACCAAATCTGAACAGTTGGTTAAATCCTTCTGCTTGTTAATTACTCACTGTTTTAAGCAGTTGTCTCGCTCACATTCAGCAAATGAGCTGACAGAAGTCACACATGTCCAGATTAACAGGCACAAATTTGAGAAAGTGAGAGCTGACCTTGAAACTGAAATAACATCCCATGTTCCCCTCTGCACAGTTGGGCAAATTAGAGAGGACTAAAAGCACAGCGGCACACTTTTTATAGAGCTTGCGCTGATAGAGATGTATATATAGCGGAGGACATTGTGTTGGCGCTACGTGCAGATGGAAAGCTGCATGTTTATTCCCCTCTCTTAATGACATAATCAGTCAATGGCAGGGTGTGACATGACAGTGTTTTAATTAACAGTCTGCTTGCTGGGATGGGTGAATGTACAAATCTGCAACAGACCGGAGGAGGCAATTTTCTGAGATGGAGAAAAGGTCCTGCTCTATCACTGAGCATTGAGTGTATCTGACTTCACATTACATCACATTGGGAACTTTAAAAGCAGAGAATATGGTTTTTATTTAGAATCTTTTGCCACTCGGATGTAGTAATGCAGAGTTATTCTGTTGCAGCTCCACAGAACCAACAAGTACTTGCAAACAAAAAAACAAAACAAAACAAAAATAATCTTGAATGCAGTGTAATTTATTTTAGATAAAAGCATAAAAGAAAATGTAAATTAAAAAATACCAAAAAGCTGATTTGAAGTTTTATCACCCATGTCTGTGTCAACTCAATGTGTCAGAAAATGTGCACAAACCAAGACTCCATCATATTTTTAAAATCAACTTTTGGTTTTGGATCAGAGTCCGTTTTACATAATATTTGGCTCAAAACTCCACTTGGACTATGTTCAGGTTAGACTCGTGCAATTAATGATGTATCATGACCTAATTGTATTGTGGGTCGGACTCAAATGTACAGACCTCAAACTCAGGTTTGGACCAAGCAATTGAGTTGTAGGTGAAATCAGCCTAAAGCATTAGTGAAATGTGTTGTATTGTTTAATTAGTGTTGGACACATTGGCTGGTATGGGTCATGAAAAAGTCTGTTTAAGATATTCACAAATTTTTTTAAAAAATAAAAGCAAAATCAAATGAGCTGACCGTGCATGGAGGCTGCATCCACGGTTCCCCATCAATCTGCATGGGCAGCAGCCGGGACGTCCTGTGGACATAGAGACAAGGGCAGAGAAAAAAAGACAGAGCTGTTACGGGTCAGGTCACTGACCAGGCAGATCGCGGGCACGAGGCTCCTATACAACACTTTTCCTACACGGCTCTGAACACTGTGCTCTTTGTTCCCACAGCCCCGTTCCCAGCCAAGCCCCTTACTCTCTAAACTAACACACTCACTCAGTTCAGAATCTCCATTCCCACATACACACAGTTACAAAAAGTTACTTTAGTCTTTTCAGCAGGGCCACTACAAGTTAAAGCAACACAGTATGGGAGAATGACCATGATGAATGCACTATTAATGCCTATTACGGAAAGTATTAGGTCATAGGCAGAACGGCCCTGTGTATAGGTGAGAAAACATCAGCGAAAATTGTGAATAACCACCTCGCTTCAATTCTGAACTAACTGTTAAGGTCATTATGAGTGTTTAAGTGAAGCAGGCCACGGCAACACAAACTTGTGAACTAGCACCTCAGAAGTGTTAAGTCTCCACCGGTTCATTAGCATACGTCAGGAGTGTGTGTGTGTGTGTGTTTAGACATGCTACAAACATCATTATTCATAAGTACGAGCGGCTCCAGAATGTTAGAGCTGTTGGCAAAGCGAGTGACAGCAGGTCAAAGGTCTGATTTACTAGCTGCACTGGCCAAGAGAGGATGTCCTGCTGAGGGGGAGGGGGAAGAGAGATGTTTCAGAGCCATGGACACAAATAATCAGAGTGTTTGTCTATGAGTTGAACAAATACTGAACTTTTAGTCAACGTGAATGTGGACAGGCATGAACTGCTGACCTGATGGTGACACTAGAACACTGTGCAAGGCGCCGCCCAGCGCTCTTGAGACCTGTGTAGATCTGACCCATCTCGATGGCTCCCTCCAAACCCACCACCTCCAGAAGCTGATCACTCAGATCTGTTTTGCCAGTGAAGAAGAGACAAATGGTTATGTTTCATTTAAGTATCAACTTTTTCTCAGATGCTTTTTTCCCGAAAATTGCCTAGGATAACTGAAGGGAGAAGACATTGTTTATTATTAGTTAAACTGGATGGCATGGCTCAGATCATTTGGTCTTGTAAGAACCTGATGACAAATTCATCATAAAATCGTTTGATTGCATATTTTGTGAGCAGTTTGTGATATCATTAAATGTAAAGTTCATAATTTACTCACCCTTATGCCATTTCAAAACGGTTTTATCTATTCACATACAAACACTGAGGGACAAAAATCTCTAAGGTTTAATTAAAAATGTCTTCATTTGCATGTCAAAGATGAACAAAAGTCATACAGGTGTGGAACGACATGAGGGTGAGATAAAACATGACAGAATTTCCATTTCTGTCAGGACCACTATCGTCAAAGATGATTGACTGAATGCTTAGATAAGTGTCGTATTCCCATAGGTAGATGGGGATCAGCTGAAGGTCAGCTGATGCGAGCTTGAACGAGCTTGACCTGCCAGAACTAACGGCTACGCTTGATTTTTGGGTAACTAACACTTTAAGACCTCTTCCGAAACTCCAAAAGAGAAACATGCTGAGAATGCTGGGGGACTGAACAATATGATAACCATAAGTTTCCATTAATTCTCAATGCTCTCTCATTGCTGTCTAGGATAAACAATTGCGATAAAAGAGAGATACTATTTTTTTCTTTCGTAAAGGTGAATCTAAATTGCGTTTTTAAAAAGCATATCAATAGCAAACTCTACACAATGGGAAAGTAAAATCAAATTCAGTTTGTAGTATGAGGGAAAAAATTAGCATAGAACTACAGGGGAAAAGGCACTGAGGTCAGTGGTTAAGCCTACTAGTAGACTAAGCTTTAGTAAATGCTTGTGGAACATTGTTATCCCTTTACCCACTCATTAACTTTCTCTCGCTCACACACAACAGGTCATGGCAGCAAGTCTCCCATCCACACACACACACACACACACACACTGGTGAAATGACTATATGTCTGTTGCAGAGTAGGAGAATCAGGCCTACTAAATGAGTGATTTATAAAAGCCTCTTTATTTCAAAAAAGCCTCCTACTGTGAATCATTATTCAAGAGCCAATGCAATCAAATCAGTACATGAAGAAGAGGGTATTACATGAAACTTCATCTCAAGAGTGTGAATGCAGCATCTAGAGCTGATAATGGAACACACAGATCCAGTGCTATTTTAGTATTATTTATATACTATTATTTTTTATATATATTTTCAGTTCTCATTTATTTATATATTTTTAGTAATTTTATGTGCTTTTGTCATTTTCATCCAATATTTTATTTTATTTTGGCTTTAATTCAATTTACAAAAATGTTGTTAATAGTAATAGTTTTAAATAGAACCCAAGTACCTCAGAGTCATTTCTTTAAAGATTCCTGGAAAAACTGTTGACAGTATTTAGAGTTCTTGCAGTAACATTTGGGTTTCATTGTCACCAGCGTTACCCAAGGACTGGTGCTGAAAACGCTGACATGTTCTAAGAACTTGATCCAATGTCCATCTTCATTTGCAAAATAGAAGCAATTAAAATGAGTTTACTAAAGCCATATCCAAGACTGAGAATTCATTCTCAAGAAAATGAGGCATGCTATACTAATACACTGCAATCCAAAAAGCCATGTAATACAAATCTCTCTTTTCTTTCATACTTCATTCTTAAAGTTGACCCACATTAATGGCCTATCAGTGGTAGCTTTAAGCTAGCTTTTCAGCTGATGGTTGCACAACATCCACACAAGCCAGAACTACTCATCAGTTCAAGCCAAATACACACCATACAGAGTGATCTGTCAAAGAGATGTTTCAAATGTACTCGCGCTGGGTCCGCCTATAAAATTCAAAGCTCATCCAGCCTATCATTAACAAAAAGGTCTATGATGTGTGACACGGTGTACTTAAAGGCACATCCGCAAACAGCTTATGTTTACTCCCATCAGCTGCCTAGAGTCCAGACAGAAAGCAATGGTTTGTTTAGATGAGAATGTATGTTGTTTTAACAGTGTAAATGCTGTTAATAATTTCACAATGTCACCTGACAGAACACATGGACACTTTTGACTTTGGCTTTCAATGAAAGGTCAAAATATTAAGATGACAAATACGGTTATCATACTAAAATATTTTGGTAAAACTTTACAAGAGAGTTCAACATGTAAACATTAGTTAATGCATTGGGTATCATGAACGAAAAATGAACAATAGTTTTTACAGCATTTCTTAATCTAGGTTAATTTTTATGAATGAATGTACTATTGCTCTTTGTTAATTCATGCTCACTCATAATTAAATGTTTTTTAATGTTTTTTATACATCTTGAAATGTTAAAAATTCTTAAAAAGTATTGTTTGTGGCACAGTGGTACAAAAAAAATCATTAGTTAATGCATTAACTACCATTAATTAACAACGAGCAAGACATTTGCAACAGTATTTATGAATCCTTGTTAACAATTTAATAAAAATACAACTGTTCATTGTTAGTTCATCTGAGTTCAGGACCATTAAATATTAAGATATAACTTTTGATTTTAATAATGTATTAGTAAATGTTGAAATTAACATGAACTATGATTAAATATTATTGTTAGTTCATGTTAACTAATATAACCATATTATAAATTGTTACCAAAATCTGCTTAGTGTTAATGGCAAAACCCAGAATTAACCTAGACACTGGAAACACTTAATATAAAGATTTGGTCTCCTGACACCACTCAGAACCATACGAACTACACAAAGAAAAGTAAAATTCTGTTCCTGATTTCAGTGTTACTGATACTGTAAGATAATAAATTAAGCAGCTGTTAATATTGCATTTACGCAGGGAGCAAGTCAGTGAGTCATTGTCAAATTTTAATATTTCACAGAGCAAATTTCACGGCACATATCACAAAACTTGTCCTCAGTGAATGTGGCCAACTTCTAAAACTTCACTAGTACACTCCAGGAACGCCTACTCGCTCAACAAGGACTTCTGTGACAAGCTTCAATTCATTTCATTAAGCAGAGGCCTACATATGTCAAAGAGAAAGTAATAACGATTGCATTTTTTAAATTAAAGATTTTACATAGCAAAACCTAAAAAACAAACAAAAAACAGCATCTAAATAGCTTTTGGGTAATACTTTATTTCATTAGTCCCCTTTATATATTCTGCTGACTATAAGTAACTTTGCAACAAGTCAACTTATCCAACTAACCCTAAACCTAACTCTAACCTAATAGTCTACTAATACTCTAATGAGAGTTAGTTTACATGTAGTTGAAAAGTTACTTCTAGTTAGGAAGTACTTCTAGCTAGTTCTAGTTACCAAAGTGAATTTGCAAAATAAAATAGGTTTCTCAAGGCTCTCGATACTGCTGTGTGATAGTTTTCAGTATGTGGTATGACCTGTGAATCTCTTTTGATGTGAGTCATGACCTGGCTGAAAAGAAAAAGCTGCCTGCCAGTGTTTATAAAGTGTTTATTGATTGATGAGAAGTGGAGAGGTCTGAACCTGCCTGACTGTGCAGCTTTGCTGGGGGATATTGTGACTCTCCTCCTCTGAAAGGTCAGACAGGAGAGGTTTGCTGAGAGGTGAACAAACTTTATGCTTCGCTTGGAGGGCTGCGAAGAGCCCCAACAGAGAAATCTGTGCTTGGTATCCTTTATCCACCTCCACAATGCCACTATTTGACAAGCATGTCAAAGATCTTGATGCTTCCTGAGCTCTATACATCTCAGGAGTTTTCCCAGAAAGAATAATAGGATTGAGGGCTGTAAGAAGAAAAGAGGGAGGTAAGGAGGGCAGATTAAGACTTCAGCACTGACACTATGAAGTGACGTGAGTGACAAATGGCTCTCTAACACCAAAAACTGCAACAATATTCAGCCTCACACTGATCTACAAGGACTCTGCGCTCACAGAGCTCTGCCAACACTAATTTGCCAATTTCTGCAAAATACAAATGGTCATCATTCACAAAATTCTACATGTTCCTTGTCCCTTTGGTGTTTATTAAATATTTTGGATAGCTCAAACGTGATAAATAATATGGGTGTAAAGGTACACATATTTCTTTCGGTTCGATATGCATGTGTACCAAACAAATACAGCATTGGTTTAACCACTGCACGAGTGGAACTTCATTGGAAATGACCAGTCTTACATATTGTTATTTTGATAAGAAACAAAGTCTCATCATTCAAATGATGTCCATTTTTTTTTCAGGAAATTCAAACAATAAATGCCGTTTTGACGCGTGACAGATCTCTGTATTGGTGCCTCAGGTCAAACGGCAGCGTGGAGTGCGAGTGAGTGTGATCATCCCTTCCTCTTTACTACTAGTTGAAATAAACATGAATGAACATCTTGTGCCTCATGTAATCGCTCAATCAATGTTTCAACCGCAGAAAGATGTCAATAAAACATCTTGTAAACAAAATGTCACGTAGCATTTCATTTACCTCAGGCAAGTCATCAGTGCCCACAGCTCATTAGTTCGCTACAAATGAAGTCTAGAGAAGAGCATTTGGCGAAACATATTAGACTATATACTCATTATATTTTACTTTACCTGTTAGTGATGTCTTAATTATTTAATGTATGTTAAAATAAATCTGTTATGAAACATGTAATGACAGCCACTATGTAAATGATTATATTTCAACAACAAATATAAATGTTATAATTAGATTTAGAAGTTAATTTAAAAACTGCATTATCTGAAATTTACATGTTTGCATACAATTTTGTAATTTGAATGTTGATTATTATATTTAAAAATAAATAGTAATTGAATCTAAGCTTGGGCTCTGTTGTTCATTGTATCCTTATAATAATGTAAAAGGGCTCCCTTTTTAGAGCATAAACTGAGGTAGATTTTTATCCCTAAGAAAACTTTTCTTCAGAAAACTGGATTTATTTAAAAAAAC